CCTGCCGCTGGCTGGGAAGTAACCTTTGTTCTTCTTTCAGGTCCTGAAGATCAAGCCAAACGGGGAGTCACCCTATGTGAAGATGGCATTCACTGAGCACAAGCAGTGCGAATGCAGGTAGGGACCCCTGGGCTTCTTTTGCATCTTCATCAAGAGCGACCTTGTCAGATCACCCTGCATGTGGGACGGGGATGCCCTGGGGGCACCCTGGCTGTGCTGGGACCCCTTCTGGCTGTCTTTGCACCAGGGCTTGCCAGCACTTATGGCCCTTATTCAACTGCAGGTTGCACCACACCTCTGCACCTGCTCCCTGCAGCCAAGGGGGTGCGTGGCATTGTGTGACCATGGACTATCTGCAGGACCGTGGCACCATGGCTCTGTGAGCAGGCATGTCTGTGCCCTCCATCCCTGAGGCTGCCTTGGCATGGCCTGTGTGCTCCTCTGGCCAGAGGACATGCCTGTAGGTAACAGAGCAAGAATGGTGGCTCTGAGGCAGCTGTTTGGTGTGGGACAGTGTGTCCAACATGGTAGCTCAGCAGGGAGTTCCATGGTTTGGCAAGCCTGAGTGTGACCATGGCACAAAAAGAAAGCTGGACAGCTGAGCCCTGGGTTTCCATTTAAGGGAGGCTGCCCCACACAGAACTTGGAAGCAGAGGTTTACATCCAAATCAGCAAATGAAAGCTTAAAACATGCAGCACCAACCTAACAGGGATATGCAGCACCAACCCCGAATGGATACGCAGCACCAATCTGCCACAGACTCATGACACCTAGTCAACCCCACTGTGTCCCAGGAGAGGTGAAAGCTTGGGTGGGACAGGGCCTTTGCCTGGCATCTGCAATGCTGTGGGAGCAGGGAGCAGCTCTGGTACTGCCTGCAGCTGGTCCCTGCCACAGAGCCTCTCCAGCATTGTCTGCATGGGGGGTCCTGGTAATCACTCTGCATCATGATCCAAGAGTGATTTAGCATTGCAAAAACTGGGGGCTGGGTGTCTCGTTGGGCAGCCTTTAGACACAATCCTTGCCTGGAAGAAGAGGCTGAGGATCCCCGGGTTGGTATTCCCCTGCAGTTGTACGAGCAGCTGTGCTGGAGCAGACCCAAGGTCCATCCAGCTCCACACTGACTCTGGTGTGTCTGTCAGTGGATGCAGAAGGAGGAGTGGGAAGAAGCACGTGTTACTTCCCCCATCTCTGCTTCCAGCTATTTTCCATGCAGGGAATTTCCTAAGCCTGTTGTGGTTTTCCTACCTAGGGTAACTCCCAGGGGATCTCCTGTGAGCACTTGTGCAGGCTGCCTTAGAATCTGTGTAAACTTCTTGCTTCTGCAGCAGCTTTTGGCTTATTGCTAAACTGCCCTCCACACCTTTACCTCACTTCCTTTTGTAGTGTAGTGTAGGCATGGACCAGGATATGTCCTGGCCTTGACCCCTATAGGGGATGCTTAAGTATATTGTGGCTGAGAACCACTGCAGAGAGTTTGCAACAAACACCATGTGCTACTCGGGACATTGGGTCTTATTTAACTAGCTGAGCTATGAAAGTTGTCACTGAGAGCAGCTGAGACTGAACTTGTGCTTTCCAACCTCATTGACAAAATGTCACATCCCCAGGGAGTAACCAAAGCTGACCCTCCCCTGCCCCTTTGCTTCTCTACCTTCTCTCTGCCTGCTGCAATCAGCTCCTGGCTGAGGAGTTGATAATGTGGAGAGAAGTGTTATTGGGTCTGTTTTAAGCATGAATGATAACAGGTAGATTGTGCTGCACACTGGGGCATATCAATAAACCACCTCCTGCAGCTTAGTATACAGCACTGCCCAATAACAACTTCACTCTGTCCTTTTCCCACCCTGTAGGCCCCGGCAGGACCTGATGAGGTCAGGAAGGTAAGTGACATCAGGGGTGATGTTACTGGCTGGGATTGTGGGTCTCATCTTCCACACATCAGTCATTCTTGTGGTACTTTTCTTTTGAAGGAGGAGGTCCAAGGGCCGAGGTAAGAGAAGACAAGACAAGAAGGGACAGAAAGACTGTGAACTGTAAGTGAGCAGGAGCAGGTATGGGTGGTGTCTTCTGGGTTAATTTCTTTGGGATGAACACCGTCATTAAGCATTTAGGTCTTTAGTGACACTGTGAGCAGAGATGTGTTTATGCAGAGCAGACACGGAAGAAAGCAGGAGGGGACAGTGGGCAGCTGTGGGGAAACAGGCCTTCTACTGAAGGCTCAACAGGTGCTTAGTAATCTCCAGGCTCAGCTGCTCAAAGCTTGACAGGGTGGGGATGGGTGACTTGATGGTGCATAGCTCTGTAGTCATCACAGACCACACTGGGTTTCCTGGATCCATGAATTTCCAGTTTCAGCCTCATCTAGCTGCCAGCTATGTCCTTCCTGCTGTCCTTGACTGGTCATTGTTTGGGTTACTCTACCCTTTCCCGCCTTATATTTAGCTGACTTTTCTCAAACTGCTTTCTGTAACAGTACATGCTGGACTCATTGTGGGCACTTTTGGGGTATGGCACCTGTGGCTGGCACCATCCTCTCACATTTCCCCATTTTGTCTGAAGCCTGCTGTTGGGGGGCTCAGCCAGCACCAGCCCCATCACCCTCACTGCTCCCCATGAAGAGGCTGCCTGCAGTCCCTACCCCTGTGGTTTGGTGCTGGAGGGGCCAGGCACAGAGAGGGGAGATCCAGGGCAAAGCAGGTGAGCCTGGAGGTCCAGGTGTCCCTCCCATCCTGGCAGTGCTCAGCCCATGCCATACTCTCTTTGCAGG